TGGGGACAATGTTTTGGCTGTTGTGCTTCTTCTTCTTTTCTTTTGCGAATTCTTCAACAGAGATTCTGTCTCTCACCGGAAACAAAACGATCATGTCTCCCAACAAAGCTTTTGAAATGGGGTTGTTTCAAGCTAGCAAATCTGGTTGGTTTTTGGGGATTTGGCTCAAGGAAGATCCAAGTAAGATCTCATTGTGGGTTGCTAACAGGGATCTCCCTCTGAAGACCGCAACAGTGAAGTTAATCTGCTCTCAAGAGAACCGACTTTTACTTATGGGTGAAGGCAATGCCACGTTCTCTTGGAACATGTCAGGAATGGGCATCAAAGCTGAGCTTATGGACAATGGGAATCTGGTGATGAGGGATTCCGATAAAAGAACTACTTGGGAAAGCTTTGCTTTTCCAACCGACACTTTATTGCCGGAGATGAATCTGAGCATTGACGGCACAACAAGAGTCCTTGACTCATGGACAAGTCAAGAAGATCCGAGAAAGGGACAGTTCTCGTTGGGAATTGCATTGCATGGAAACGAAATCTACGAGATTTTTGTACAGTCTTCATCTTCAGACTCAAAGTCAAAGTATGGGAATGATGTGTGGGATGGAAAGCGGTTTGGGGACATGCCCGTAATATTACAGGAAAGCCAAGATTCGTTCACCATGAAGAAACAGAAACAGTACACAAGACTGACACTGAGCTCACGAGGGTATTACCAGATTTTCACTTGGATTCCACGGGATGCGAGATGGGATCTTGCATGGTCGGTGAACAACAGCTGCTATCTCAGTCCATGTGGGGCTTACAGCTACTGTTTAACAGACACACCACCGAATCAGGACCCTTTCTGTAAATGTGTCCAAGATTTCATTCCAGTGGCTAAGGGGAATGCTTTGCCGGGCCAGGGTGCGTGTACGAGGAGAACGAATACTTTTAACTGCACTGGAGATGTGTTTGTGAAGATGCAAAATATGAGGTTGCCGCTAACGCTAGAATATTCGAGTGATGAATCAGAATTGGCTTTTGATTTACAAGGATGTGAAGAGAGATGCCGTGAGAACTGTGATTGCACCGCGTTTGCGTTTGTGAAAACCGGAGCGCGAATAGGCCACTGTGTCACTTGGATAGGAGTGCTCAACGATTTGAGAAAATACAAGATCGGTGGCCACGACCTCTATTTCAAACTGGCGGCTAATGATTCGGGTTAGTCTCTCATCTTAATTAGCGTTTAATCTTTCTTCCTTTTCTTACATTATTAAACCACAAGAAAATTGAGTTTTATAATGCTCATGATTTTCAACAAAACTTACCAAATCCCCCCAACTTAAAAGGATATATTTCATCAAACTACAAATGGTTTTTTTTATTATTATATCAAAACCGATTTAACCGAAACCACCCGGATCATCCCATTCCGGTCTTAAATCCGTACCTCTGAAGCACACACAGAGACAGACTCACCCTCATCTAGTTGTATATTCGGGTTAGTTAGTCCCTCTATATGGAAAACTTCTTTGATCAATTTCCCTTAATTAGATTCGGTCTCTTTTAATTAGGGATAGATGTATTAAAAATATGATTCGGTTTAACGAAATTATTATATCCCTTGGCCTTGATCAATTTGCCTTAATTAGATTCGGTTTAAGGAAATTCAAACCGAACTAAACGGAAATTTCATTAAACCGAATGGTTTTACAAATTGTGATTCGGGTTAGTCCCAGTCTGATCTTATTAGATTAATATACCTACATGTTTAGAAACTACGGGACCTTATTATATCATCAGAAGTAAGAAACATACCTTTGGCTGCGTTTTGTTCTCTAGGTGAAACACTGATAAAGCTTTTCTCTTTACTCTTTCGTTCTTGCACAATAGAGCTATCTCTAAGAAGATGAATCTATCTTTCTTTTGATGCTACGGTGTTTTCTCTTTTCCAGATGTAGCCGTGGCTACCAAAAAGCCTCCAGGTGGCTTGAAAGCCTGGATCATTGGTATTCTAGTCGCAGGAGGAGTCATCGTCTCTATCGCATTATGCGTCTTCTTTTGCTTGTGGTGGAAGCAAAAGAAAAGAAACCAACAAGGTACTTTCTTTTTCTTAATCTATTTCTAGCGTTCTATCTTGAACTGTTTTTTTGCTTCTTTGTAGAAGCACCAACGGAAACCGAAATATTGATGAACGAGATCACCCCCGAAGATCGCTTCGAATTTATGGACCTTTCAACCATTGTGGAGGCTACCGACAACTTCTCATCCTCGAACGAACTCGGCCGAGGAGGATTCGGTACCGTTTACAAGGTAAAATAATCTGTAAAACAAAAACTCTTATGAAACAGATTTAATATCAAAATTTTCACAGGGAATCTTACCGAGGGGAAGAGAAGTAGCAGTCAAAAGGTTATCGACATTATCAAGCCAAGGCTTGGACGAATTTAGAAACGAAGTGACAACGATTTTAAACGTCCTTCACAGGAACCTGGTCCGCCTCGTAGGTTGTTGTTGTGAAGGCACGGAGAAACTCCTAGTCTACGAATATTTGGAGAACTCGAGTTTGAACCGCTATATATTCGGTTAGTTAGTATTTTAACAAATAAAACTCTTAACTTAGATGATTCTTTTAATTCTGTTTTTTGTTTTGTTTTCATGCATATGTAGATGAACTCCGAAGCTCACTACTGAACTGGCAAAACCGGTTCCGCATCATCAATGAAATCGCCCAAGGGCTTTCCTATCTACACAGTTCCACTCAAAGACCCATCATTCATAGAGACTTGAAACCCAGCAATATCTTGCTAGGTGTCAACATGATCGCCAAGATTTTGATTTTGGGATGGCCGCGATGATGGAAAGAGGTCAGACACATGCACAAACAGAGAGAGTAGTCGGAACTTAGTAAGCATTTTCTATAAAAAATCTTTTAGTTTAGTTAGTAATATTTTTTTTTTTTTGAGAAAAACAACAATTTTCATTCTAATTTTTTTTTTTCAATCGCAGTGGCTACATGTCCGAAGAATACGCTCTGCATAACGTATATTCTGAGAAGTCGGATGTATTCAGCTTCGGTGTACTCTTGCTCGAGATCATCACCGGAAAACGGAATGGTGATCATTGTAGGTCTAATCCCGGAGAAAGTTTACTGGGTCTAGTAAGTTAATCATAAATTGTACCGATACAAATTTGATATCTTGTTTTTAAAGTAAAACACACACACACTAACACTAATGCGTTTGATGATTTTGTTACAACAGGCGTGGAAAATGTGGAACGAAGGGGAGGGACTTGACCTGGTGGATTCTCAGTTCGTCGACTCCACTTTAGTAGAAAATGAGGTTTTGAGATGCATACAGATTGGTCTGTGGTGTGTTCAAGATCGCGTTGAAGATAGACCAACCATGGATTTGGTTATCGTAATGCTAAGAAGTACTGACGAAATTCCTCGTTTTAACGAACCAAAGTACTACTACGCTCGCAGACTTGGTGGAGAAATTGCTTCGACATCTTCTTCTCTACCTCGGGAGACCAGTAGTGTACTTACTTCGAGTTATAATCAAATAACTTTGAGTGTCCTCGATGCTCGATGATGAGGTTTATTCGAATGTCATTGTAATAAATACATATCTTATTTACTTCATGTACTTTCACTTAAGCGTTTATAATTAATTGCTTGGAACTTACATATATGCTTATATTATATAACTACTCTATGAAAACATTTGGAACTTTATTTCGAAAGTAGTTTACTCAAATATTTTCAACTCTTTATCCTTCTCCTTCACTTGCGACTTTAGTCCGTCGATATCCTCCTTCATTTACTTAAAAATGTGATCTGGTTTTTGACATTATATTGTCATAAAATATTAAAATTTTCTTCAATATTTCATACCGAATATTC